ACAATAGTGCAGACTTCATTCAAGATTGAGTCAATTGAGCTCATCCACTTCTGTATCTCCGGCGTAGAAATTACTTCACTTGGTAATTCATTTTCCCTGACTGGAGGCGGGCTAGGATCTCTAGGAGGTTCCGATGGCGTCGATGGTGGGCTTAGCCGTAGTAATTGGCTACGGCCAAACGGGCTGGCTTCTGGGTTAGACATAACTAACACAGTAACACAGATTGTTTAAAAATAGTTTATTTGTTCATTTTACACTATGACAAAGTTGTTGGTCACCTACTAAGCACTCATGACACACTTTACTTGATATAAATCTGACGCCACAAAATATATATTTTTTTTTTGCAATTATTTATAGGTGTGCATTATAAATAACAAAATACACGTCTGTTTAGTCTCGCTAGTCAGCGCAGAATGACAAAATATGAAAGATTATAAGATATTTTCGCAGAATGACAAAATGAGAAAATAACACATTAAAGCATGGATTTACACTGAAAATGATTGGCAAAGGTTTCGTGTAAAAGAACAAACACTAACATAACAAGACAGAAAGGGTGTTGAAACTACGGAACGCACCGTATCGACGAAATTCTTCGATATGTTCCTACCATAAGATAAATGGAAAGGCGTCCTTTCCTACCCTTTTACATTCGTACATTGTAATGTAGACATACATATGTAGGTATACATATACATAGGTAGGTACCTATATACATATTTAGATAAACCACGCCTTTGTCTTACACGATTTTGTAGAAACTACACGTAGGTTTCACGAATTTATAAAGCAAGGAAAACAAACTTTTTTTGCGAGTATCGCAAGCTAGTAGACATTGAAGTATGGGATGTAAAGCTCAGTCCTAGATTATCTGTTGTAGTGTGACCTCTAGTTTATTAAATTACCTAATATACATATTTACACGTTACCCGCCACGTAGGGCACAGGTGGCCTACGGTAGTGGAGGATTTGCCTTCAGTAGTTCTTGGTCGGCAGTCAAAGGTTTAATATAAAGGTCGAATTTTTATTTATTTTATTTTCCTTACATAAGCAGCACAGAACGTATTCATAACAAGGATTCAACAAACTATAAAATCCATTCCACGTAAAAAGGGTAGTTTATGGCTAATCCTGTTTTGCATACATACCTACTCATAGTAGTGGAAGTACATACTTAGTCTAATTTAGTCAGAAAGAATCTGGCCTCCTCCGATTTCCCTGTCCAGGGCATATCAAAAACTTAATAAAATTAAAATAGGCCCATCGTCCCACTGTTGCCCATCATGGGCTATTGACGTAATTAATGAAACCAAGATAATTTTATCACAAAGATAAATGTTCATTGTATCATTATTTAATGGTTCAACAAAGTTCCCGATCTCGTGACTAATCCATCACTATTAGTTAGGTACTACTTGATCATTAATAACACTATCGACAACCGCCCTTCACCTAAAAGAGTTTATAATTAAGTAGGTATAAAGTAGGTATTCCTTTGAGACCAATTATCCAAACACTTTTTATAATAAATAGTACCTAATAAGAAATGTATTCCTATTGTCGATTATAATTTTGTTTCCATGAGGTATAGTATCTTACCTTTCTCTGACCTTGATACCATCGGCGTCGAGTCGACAGTGAAGTACCTAGGTCTCCTCTTCGACAGCCAGTGGAACTTCCCGCAGCATTTTCGACATTTAGCTACAACACAAGCGACTCCTTCTCTACCTTAAGTGGTCAATCGCCTCCTGCTGGACGTTGCGTTTGTTGATCGTGCGATATGTAGCTCTCTACAGGGCCCTATATGGACGCCTGATTTGAGGCGGAGTCATCACTACGAGAATCACCCGGACATAAGGTGGCAGCGTCGTGTCCTCGGGGCAGTAATCTAACTAGGCGCCCAGTTAGGGCCCACTGCCCACGGTTCCCAAGCCATGGTCAGCCAGGGTTGCAGGTCCAAGCGCGTTAGTGTACCGCGGCCCCGGCCCGGTGAACTACAACGGAACAGGATGTTTTTTTTAGTGTGTAACTCGATGTCTTCCTACCGATACACCATCAAATGTGGAGAATTTATTTGTTATTTTTTGTAACTTGACTTCCAAGACAGCAAAAATTTTGTTCAGACTTGGCTTTTTAGTGAAACCAAATATATTTATCTTTTTAAGAAATGTTAAATATTTAGGTTTAAGTTGTTAAGTGTTTAGAAGTCAAAAGTTGAAACAAACTTTATTTAACTTATTCGTTCGACAACCGACACTGACAGTTTTGTAAGTTACACAAACACCGAAAATGTCCTAAACAGAACCACACAAGTTGAGTCTGTATTGGAAACTACAATACTATGTTTATTTTAGAAGCTTACCCTTGTAATTTTTGGCGGCAAGGCTATGTAATGCGTGAATTTATTCCTCAATACAATAATATAATTTATCTCATTTGGATTGCGGTATTGGCAAAGAAAAAAGATAGTCCATTGCCGCATTGCGGTAGACAAGTATAACATAACTCTTTTCACAAACTATCTAGCAACGTCAATCGAGCCACAGGTCGTCCATCTTTGCAATTTCTATTTAGTAGATAACCGAAACTACTTGAACGGAATCTGTGGGATATCGTAAGTATGAGGGCACTTAGATATGTCTATGGCAAAATTATTGCTAAACTATGTTCAACTATAATGTTCTTGGTATTTAATTATCCCCTTAAGGTGGGTAGTAGGTATATTAGACAGCTTCTCACGTACGTTGCTATGTCTACCAAATGCTCATCCATGAATAAAATAAACGGCTCCTTAGAGAGATCGCCCCAGAGCCATGTCTTTTCTTTTCACCTACGTAAATCCTCGACCAATGTATTATTTACCAAGATTTACCACTGCGAGCAAATGTTACTGATTCTACATAGCTGCGATAGTTCCCTATCTTACCAAATATTCCAAACGATTCCTTAGCTATGTTATTTTAGTGACGATATTATATACTTTACCGTTCTTTTTATTTCTTGAAGGTCGAAAGGTAAGTAAAAGAGTGTCTTTCTAAAACAAATGAGACTACCAAAAATACAATATGTTATAGTAATTTGAACCTTGTTTGCTTAAATGAACGTCGGAGCTGATTCAGGCCCCAAAGTAATATCAAGCAAGAACCTTGAACTTCCTCTGCAATAGTAGTCGAACAACGGGTGGAACCGCGCAGGAGCAACTATTGACATGATATATGTATTAAGATCGATTGATGATTCCATAATGAGCACTTATATAGGTATGCTTAAAGTCCTACCAACAACGACGATAGGTAATAGTAGGTACAGCCACAGATTACTGAATAGTTACTACGTAAGTACAGCTATCTACTTTAATCTTGAGAATCCATAAACAAATGATGGTGGTGACAATGTAAAATCTGGTCTCTATATAGGTAAAAGTTGTATGAGTATTATATATACCTAAATGCCTGTTTAATGTAAATTAAACATTCCCGCAAAACAAAGGCCTCCCCGCGTTCCTTAATCAGCCACATCAAGCACAAATATAACGCTAGCATTCAAAAACTGCATAAGTAATTACAATTAATGTACGGTTGGCGCAGTGGCTGAGCAGCTCGGCTACTTGCTCAGAGCTCAGAGTCACCAGCTACGAGTTCCAATCCCACTCTGCAGACAAGACCTTATACATAATTATATTACCTATCCTTAAATTGTTGTTTCACCTAGTAGGTATATCTACTTATGATTCGGCACGATTGTGTCGGCTCGACCGCTGTGACACCACCTTAGAGAAAACCTGGCATTACCCAATTGCTAAACTATTTTAAACAGAGAGATCATTAATAATTAACTTATATATTGTCGAAGTGAAGATTTTTTTTGTTTGTTTGAACGCGCTAATCTCCGGAACTACTGGTCCGAATTGAACGATTCTTTTCGTGTTCGTTATTCCATTTATCGAGGAAGGCTATAGGCCATAAAACATGTCGCTACGATGTAACTATAGGAGACGAGCAGCGAGTGAAACCGGGCAACAAAAACTATATAAGGTAAGGGTTCGTCAGTGAAGCTAGGTGCTCGTTCCATATTGTAGTTTCGAATAGAGAACAACGAGCAAGAAACTCCACCACACGTTACTCTTTTTAAAAATTATTATTGTTGTAACATCTATACTTGGTAAACAACTTAAACTGTCATTGCCTTAAAGAAATATGATGGTCGACCATTGAGATAGAAATATATTTCCTATGTCAATGTGGTCGACATACTGCCGACCATTGACAACATAACTCTGGTGCAGTGAGCTGCCTGACTGTGTAGGTACTGTGTTTATTAAAGTCAAGTATTAAAGATCAAGTCTTTTATCGTATCCCGGGATTTTAAAAACCACAGCGTTGAAAAGGTCGACTAAAACACGCAAATCAAGTATTTCAAATTTATAGCCTATAGCATTCAGGAACATTGTAGCTATCTATCAGTGAAAGAATATTTTGGAATCTGGCCAGCGGTTCCAAAAATTACCCCCTTCATACAAACTACCAAACAAAAATTAATTTAGATACAATTACAATAGTATAGATACAAATACAATGTCAAAACATAATAACCTACCTACTAACTACGCATAACGTATTGCAAAGATTGTTTTATATTTTTTTTGACCCTATGATCCACATGTGGTCAAAATATTCTATTGATTTTTTATCAATTATTTTATATAATAAAAATTAACACTGACGTATATATCACTGATTATTACGAATTTGTGCTTTTGATAAAGAAACCAATTTTTTTAATAATCGACTAAAGTAATTTTTATGTATGGACTGCTTTAGATAAGTTTACATTCAAACTTACTAATGCAGTGGCTTAAGACTCAACAAGATTCTTATGTTGACTTAAAAGACAGAGTGTCAAAGTAACAAATATTTTTTAAGAAAATCCGACAATTCATGGACATGGCGTAAATTGGTTTTGTGAATAGAAATAGAAGAAAAACAGATTGTTCTAGAAATTAAATGATGGCTGCAAGAGGAGACAGAGGAGTATCAAGAGTACTTGATAAGTTAGAAGCATCTGTAAACTCTGGTCATTACTATGAGGCGCATCAAATGTATAGAACTCTTTATTTCAGGTACAGACCATGTATTTACGCTTCAAGTTATCCAGGAGCATAAAGACGAGGATGTTTGTTAATATGTTGTTATTTTTCAGATATCTAAGTCAAAAAAAGTATGAAGACCTATTAAATCTATTGAACAAAGGTTCGACGTTGTTGCTACAACGTGATCAGCAAGAGAGTGGAGCAGACTTGGCAATATTACTCATAGATGTGTTGAATAAATCAGAAACGAAACCATGCCACGAATGGATTGAGAAACTAGCTAAATTATTTGAATTAATGAGTGCTAGTATGCCCGAGAGGGAGTCTTTTCTAACCAATGCTGTCAAATGGTCTATGGATAATAACAAAAAAGGTCATCCACTACTTCACCAGGTAATTCGAATATATCATAATATAAACAACGCAAGATACAAGAATCTATTTAATTGCAGTGCAAGTTGACATTTACCTGTTTACTGTCTACTTCTACTTAGTCATTCTACTTTGGATTGTAAATTATGTTTATCTTGTTTTAGAGAATCGCTGAAGTGTATTGGAAGGAAAAAAAATATGCAGCTGCTCATAGACATTTCTTGCACTCATGTGATGGAGCTGCCTATGCCAGTATGCTAGTTGAGCTTCACACAACAAAAGGATTAAAATCTGAAATAGATTTGTTTATAGCACAGCCAGTATTGCAAATTCTTTGTCTGCGCAACATACAAATGGCTACAGACACATTTAACAAATACACAGGCCTACACCCTACGATAAACAATAACAAAGGGCCTCCTTACATATTTCCATTACTTAATTTTTTGTGGTTTCTATTACGTGCTATTGAACAGTAAGTATAAAAATCTTGTTTATATTATAATTTTATCATTTATATAATTCTTATGAGAATCTCATACAAATTTTCTGTTTCAGGAAACATTCTAATCAGTTTAAAATTTTAAGAAATTGGTATGCAATAAGTATTAAAAGGGATCCCAACTATTCAGTGTATTTAGACAACATTGGACGCATTTGGTTTGGTATAGAAATACCACCAGACAACAAACACGGTGGTTCACTATTTGGAGGGCTTTTGAAGTCAATAATAGGTGAAGCTGATAGTTCTGATGATGATGGAGACTATGTATCAAGAAATACTGCTGCCCCTGAATTGGATTAAATCCACAAAAAAAAATCAGTTAAACATTTAATTTTATGATTTTATTGTGAGTTTAATGTCTGAGGCCAATTATTATAGTACATAACAATAAATAATACATGCTAGAAAAATAATTATGAAGGTCTAGATAACATTACACATATTGCACATGGCTTAGGCTTGTATGGAAAAGGAAAACAATTTTCCACCTAGTCAGGTTCTGTATTTGTATGTGTTTGTGTAACTACACCTGGCCATTTTCAATATGATTATTGAATTTAAATGATCATTAACATTATATAATAAACAATCGCTTTTTATTTACATTCTTACAACATGTTGTATATCTCATCATTCCTCAACCTTGTTAGGGTCATAGTATCTTCACGAACATAGAGTTGTAATATTTATCAGTTATTGTGGTGTACCTAATCAAGTAATTCACATAAACTGAAGGTTCCAATTCTGGTGTTGTATCATGATCTTCATATTATTTTTCCATTTGGTTGGAGTTCTGTTATATTCATTTTTATAAGTTGATATTGTAAGCAGTCAGGGAAAGTGACAAATTTAGGAATTTCCTTAAATATTTATTTAATTAGGTTTTAGTAAGGCAACAGATAAAATATTGTATTAAAGACTAGATCAATTATATGTAGGCCTCATTTGAACAGCCTGTACACAATTTAAGCAAGCATGGCATGCACATTATTTGAAATTAGTCAACATGCCATTCACAAATTGCTCATTGTTTACACATTCACTACTCAGTCCTTGATCTTTGTGCATGAAATTCACATTGTGACTTTAGAACTTTTAAAATGTGTACTAGCAACACAATCAACACAGAGTTTAGAAACAAAAATGATGTAAGAGGTCAATTTGTTGAACTTGCTATGTAAATATACTTTGCTTCTGCTTTGTCATTTAAAACATTTGTTAAAGGTTATAATTATATTAGGTGGAAAGATTACTTGTAAAAATTGGTTAATGTTTAATTTATTTGTAACAAATTTATAGTCATAAAATCATTATAGGTACATTTTAATATAGTAGCTAGGTAATTCAGTTTACAAATTATAAGATTGCAGGATAAACAATGTTGTACATAAATGGAATATTCTTGTTTTACGAAGTCCATTGTCAGCTGATTAATTGTGTAACTGAATTATGTAACAAAATAATCATAAATAATACATGGTAATGATTTTAAATATGATTTTATTATTGATTTAAAGTAATCCCTACATTTTAATATTATCACATTTTAAAACTGTACGTATTATTTGTATAAGAATAAAAATATATATTTAAGCACATTCTATAGACAAGTATTTGCAAAGCTATCAATCAGAAATCACTATGGTAAAGCTATATTAGAATGTAATAGACGGAAGTTAATTGTAACATGGTGTATAAATTAACAACTTATTGTTATCTTCTTCATAATATTAAGATATAACTTATCTCTATACAACTTTGCTATTATCATATGACCCTGAACACTGCTACAACAGTTATTTATCAAGATCTTCTATTACAACGGCTGTCATTTCCCTGGTCAAATTTTTAATTCTAAGCATCTCTTTACGAAGCTGCAATTTTAAGTTTCTAGTTTTGAGATCTAAAGCTTGCCTAGCAATAAATCTGTTGAACTCTAGGACATCAGGGTGATTCATATATTCCTCAATAGGCATCCATTTGCATGCCTTAATTTCATTGTCAGCTTTCGTAATTATTTCAGATGTGGCTTTCAATAAGACAATTACATAGATGTCAGAGTTTCCAAACATTGTGTTGTGGGTATGTCTCAGTGTAACCATAGATTCGAAAGTAGCATCAATTCCTGTTTCTTCTTTTACTTCTCTTATGGCTGCATCTTTTATGTCTTCTCCTGTAAAGATACTTAAAATTAAAAACTGGTTATTTGAAAAAAGAAGTTAGTTACCTACTTCTGCCTACTATAAAATACAAAAGTTCATAAAGAACATTATATTACCTCTTTCTACATATCCACCAGGAAGTTTCCAATGTGGGAACTCAATGTAGTTTTCAGCAACTACTAATATTTCATTTTTATCATTAAATACCATTCCACCAACACCAAGATTTGTATGACAAGCTGGTGGTAAGTTTGATGGAGTGTCAGGAAGCCATTTGTACATCATTACAAAATTGTCTCTGGCATGGTGGAAGTTGAAGCCTTCCTGTACAACAAAACATAGTTAAATATAGTATAAAAAATAAAAAACAAATACAAGCAAAAATTATAATCAAGAAGTAATTACGTTAGCTAACACTGGCACCCAAGCTGCATCTTTGATGTTAACTTTGAACCATATACAGCGTTTTTTCGCTTCAGACCACGTTCTTATCGATTCTGAAAGAAAAAAAAAGGCGAATTAATCAATTGTTACTCATGATGTACCTAATTTTGATCGGAAATACGATTTCCGACAGCAGAATAGATGTAAAATTGATGTTATAGTTACCATTTAGCTGATTTGAGAGTTGATCTATTTCACAAGGTTCTTCCTGAGAATCTACTGTAATACCATTGTATCTATCTGTAACACCTTCAAAAGTTTTAGATCCCATTTTAATTCAAGTTATAATATAATAACTCATAAAATATTGTGTCACATTAGTTATTAACAATTACTGTTTGAATTTTGTTAGTTATTCTTAAGAATAATTACGTATCTTTATTTCACTACGAAAACTTGAATCTAATTGAATTCGAAATAATTCGAATTGATATCACAATGATATGTCATCAGTTTCTGACATTAGCCTCATTGACAGTGACAGTGACTTTCAATACTTGGCAGCGATCAGTTTTAAACAATTTAGCAATATTGTCAAAAGCGTTTAACTATTCATGATTTGTTTGGTGCTTGGTTATTTTTTACCGTTAAGTGAAATATCAACTAGAAACTATAAAAAATATTGTTGGTTATCGCATACTTCACAGCGTGTTGGCAGACTTAAAAATAAATACCTACCCTCGCTAAATGAACGCAGCTTATCTTGGACTTCGGCGCACATTTCTGTATTTGTCAAACGTCATTTTCAAAGAGTAGGTACGACGAAGTGAAACTTGATTTGAGACTTGTAAATTTGTTTTTCTACGTTATATGTTTTATTTGATAATGTTAATATAGTAATGATGAGTGTCATGTCTTGTGCATACTCAACAGAACCGTCTAATAAAATATTCAGTGGTGCTAGAGATAGGTATAATGGCATCACAATTGACTCCAAGACAGAGAAATTCAATGAGAAAAAGTTCACTGAAAATCTTGATGGTAAATATTATAATGTTTTACAGATAATTTACAATTAGATAGACACATTCTATATCATCTATGTCCGAAATAAAGTCATTCTACAGCATTAACATTAATTTTAATTTAAGTATTGAGTATTTGTATGCAGGTGGTGGAACATGCCCTTAGTATTGATAATTCCGTAATTAAAATATCATTGGTATTTTATTTATACAGTTGAGTCCAAAGTTCTTGTATAACATCTGATAGAAAAAAATATAATTGAATGTACTTTGATCTACAGATTACAATATTAGGCGCAGCATTACCCAATCTATATTGCCTTGTAACAAATAACTTTATGAATCATAAAACATGAAATCTATACTTAACATAATAATGATCGGAGCTACTGGTTCAAACTGAATAGTTTTTCTTGTGATTGATAAACATTCAACAAGAGCTAAAACACATACCAATGTGAAACTGAAACCATGTAGTGGCTAGTAATATTATACATTTATAACAAAATAAGTAAATTAAAAAATCATTGACTCTATTTGATGTTGTAGATGAAATAATATAGTTAATAGTACTTACATTTAAATTTTAGGACAGATAAAAAAAATATATAATCATTTTACAAGTGCAAGTGCTGTTATACCTACTTACCTACTCACTTTAACTATTTACCTGCTGGTAAATAAAATCTGATAATACTGAAATCCAGTTTTGTCTGGGAACAGTTTGTTTTTTTATTAAATAAAAAGTTCATTAACCTACACTAAGTTGAAAAATGTCTAATTTGTCTTTGTCTATGTTTCAGATTCATTATCAAAATGGGCATTGCAAGGGTACAGATGCATATGGTTTAAGGTGAACATTAAGGATGCCTTCTGTGTACCAATACTAGCACAAGTAAGTTTTATTTACTGCAAATAGTATTTAACAGTTCATGAACATTAGTTTGAAGTTGTTCACAATTGATTATTGTTTTTAATTAAGGCTTGCTGTTCTTAGAAAGGCTTTAATTTTCATCATGCAAGAGATGATTTTGTGATGATGTACAAATGGCTGCCTGGAGACTCCATGCCGAATCTTCCTCCTTCTTGCCATACAAACCTTGGTGTGGGTGCCATGGTGTTCAATGACAAGGATGATCTGCTGGCTGTATCTGAGAAGCACTATGAATATCCTCACTGGAAGCTTCCTGGAGGCTATGTTGAGAGGGGTAAATATTATTACTAAAGTACATAGTTCATATATACATTATTATCCATAAGCATATATATTGATATTTTAATACAGCAAAAGGCGTTATTAAAGAATGTATTATTATATGCCTTGCTTTTAATATATTTAATAAGGAGTGTGAATTAAATACTAGTATTATGCACTTTTCAAATAATTTAAAATCTAATAATAGTTTACTAAACACAAGACCTATAGCTCGACACATCGCAACTGCTTTAATTTATTTGTCATACTTTTAGGAAAATAATGTATTCCTTATAATTAATAGTAACTACATGTGGTGAGACATACAAAACTTATTGAATAGCGACTTACGTGAGTTAACTGAGAAAAGCTCTAAGTACTTACTAGTTTCAAGCCGACCGTCCGTCGGCTGCGCGACGTTGCCGCTCCGCGCCGCGCACGCTGCATCATGAATGAGAGTCCCGTTGTGACTTAACACTGGCAGAGTGATTCTCAGTTAATTCAACATTCAAATATTCTATTTAACATACATACATGTTTCCTTTTTTGTTACAGGTGAAGATATAATAGACGCTGCCGTGAGAGAGGTGAAAGAAGAGACAGGAGTGGACGCCAAATTTGAATCTCTTGTTACTTTCCGGCACACACACAACATGATGTTTGAGAACTCAGATATTTACGTCATTCTTATGATGAAAGCTATCACAGATAAATTAACACCATCCCTGAGAGAAGTGAATCGCTGTCAGTGGATGAAAGTAGAAGATTACATCACCCATCCACATGTCCATCAGTTTAATAGATTCATTGTAGAAACAGCCTTAGAATATAAAAGACGAAATTTAAAACTTAACATACAGAAAAGGACAGTTCGATGGACAGCTAATTATGCAAGGGACACAAACTTTCTTCTTGTAGAAGAGTTTAAATAGATGCAGTAAATTAAATTATGTGATATTTATTTAATGTACATAATGTGAATATGTAAATGAATATAACATAAGAATCAAATAATAACCATCGTTTGTTTGTCAATATTTTTTATTTTGAAATATTTAAAAGAGAAATATTAGGAACAGTCACAAAAATCACAAAATATCTTTTCTTTAGTGCCATCACAGTCATTTTGGGTAAAATATCTTACAGTGGTAATGTCAGTACTTATAAGTTATGATTTACTGGGAAATTCTTTAGTACTTCCACTGGGGCAGTATATGGACTTCGGTAGGAGTTTGCGCGGGATCTCTTTCCATGATATAAGAAAGCTCTTGTTTTTCGCCTTAGTCTGGGTGTGGGTCTGTAAAGAAAAAAAAATAAAAAATAAAATATGCTACAATAACTTATAGTACTACTATTGATAACTTTGCCGGTCAGGTAACGAGGTAAACTGAATGAAAATGTGATAATGTTGCGCCCACATCTGTTTTCAAAAAAATTGCATTTGTGAGTCGAGCCACGGCAACCCATTCATCAGGTGTAGTGGCACCATATTTTTCATAAGAAATTGTTAAGAAAAGGTCTGGAGGAGGTTACGTAATGAGCGATTTATGAAGATGAGATTAATACGAAAATACTTAGTATAAATAAAAGGCAAGACCCACTCAAGGAACTTATATAAAAAATACTATTCGGTAGTCAATAACATTCCACAGAGAGTCTGAGGGGGATTAGTTCTGCAAGCTCGGCGCAGGACTCTTATCACAACTAGATGTTTATTTCAGCATTTGAAACCATTGTTATAAAATATGTCTTCTGCCTATCACTTCAAAATGATATAGAAGTACCATTACGTACATCAGTAGGTATCTTCTACTCGATATGATATCCGTATTTAAATACGAAAATGCCTCTACTTCAGTTACCGACTGATAAAAGTATGAGTAAACATGATAAGGAATATCAATCTCCATTGATTGTTTTGTAAGATACCTACCTACCTACTTACCTATCTTCTGCTTAAATCGTTCCTCAAGATAGGTACTGTGATCTTTCTTTTACATAGGTATGAAAATTTCAAGTTTGTACAAAGATTAGGTACTTATCTATCATCTAAATTTTTATGTATGAACCACAATCTTAATGTGGAAGCCTAAGACCCCTTAATAAAAAGGCCGGCGACGCACTGTGCACATTGCTACACGCTTACTGATCTGTCGTTACGTTCCGTGTTAATGCTTGCATGGATATTTATTACGTTTTCAAGAAAAATTACCTAAGATTGAACGCACGGATGATGTCTTGTAGTCGTAACAGATCATTAGGTAGGTCACCTACCCACCTACTAAGTAGGTACTAGACTATCAACTTAGGTAGGCAAACTTAATCCTAGATATTGACAATAAGCACTTTGTGTCTATGTAAACAACAATATTTACATAGATATCTCAGCATTTAAGTATAGGTAATCTTGTTAGTATTCTACATATTTAGTAAAATATAAGTACCTACGCTATTCTATGCTGTCTGCTACTCTGGCTTTACCTACCTACCCAATTTTCACAAACTAGCTACTCCCGCGCGGTTACACTCGCTGCTCGGCTCCATTTGATTGTAGCGTGATGTTTTATAGCATATAGCACTCAGAAACATTGTAGCTATCAGTAAGTGAAATAATTTTGGGAATCCGACCAGTGGTTCCAAAGATTACTCCCTACGTACAAACTTACAAATTGTATATCTTTATAATATAAGTACTTATAGATACATGGACAGTACGTAGGTACCTACAGACCAGGGGTCTTTTTTGTTTGGGAAAAATCATCAAATGACTTCTGCCGCTCAGGGTGGGGCGGTAGGGAGTGTCAGACTCTTACTGTCTAGAAACCCCCGTTCCTTCTGCTCTAGGCCGAGGTTGCGGTGTCTTATTGCGCTTGCCCCGCAACTCGGCTCTCAAAGAGAGAGTCTGGAGTTCTTTTGAGAAGCGTACATCTATCAGGTCCTACTAACAGCGGCCTTCGTAAAGCCTCATCAGAGGACACTCGTGTCAATCGGATTGCATCACACATTGTGATATCATTCCATTCAATTTGATGCTCATAAAGATATTACCAATGATAAGATAAGCAGGGATGATGGATTTTCAATCATCACGGACACGCGATGTATCTACTTACTAATTGACACGTGAATTTCATCATCTTTGTTTTTTAATGCGGGGTATTTAGTCCCTACTTATGTACTTACCTAAATCTAAGTAACCAGCTCGTATTCTCTAAAGATAACAGAACAGGATAATGCCTACTCAAATGTATATATGTATTTGGCTGGATGTGCACTTACCTACCTATCTAAATAAAATACTTGCATTACATACATAATGCAAGTAGGTACGAGTAGGTATCTACATTTATTAATTTGATTTTTATGTAGTAACGTGCCGTCAGTAAGTAGGTACATAGGTACCTATTATAACTAATCAAATTGCAGGGACACGCCATTTTATCAATGGCAACAGTCAGTGCGTGTATCAATAAATCGGTTAAGTAGGTGTAACGTTCTGAATAAAAAAATAAATAAAAAAAAGATCCTGACGAATTGAGAACCTCCTCCTTTTTTGGAAATCGGTTAATAATGGTTAGTACATGCCTACCTAGTAATAAAATAATAATAAAGGTACTTTTCTTAACTTTGAAACAATTGGTCAACAAATTACAAATTCTTGAGCCAGCACTACCTAAGTACTTTTGTTTATAAACAGATAGCTACGTAAACTTTACCTACTAGGTGCCTCCTAATTACAGTAAGTTGAAATAATAGGCCAACCAACCATTATTAGGCACCTTCAAGGTAAAGTTTTGTCAACTTATGTAGGTATATAACTCATAATTAATTTAATTAAAACATTCGTATACCTAGTAGCTTGCTGGGTAGGTACCTACGTATAATAGTAAAGATTTCAAAAAACTGCAGAAATTCGGTTTATAACAATTATAATTTTGGAATTCGTTTTAAGCGACTCGTGCCTCGTTGGGCGCAGTTAAGTATTTGGTAGGTGGGTAGGTCCTAGGTAGTATATCAGCAGGGGGCTAGTGCAATAAGGTACCGCAGCCTCAGTCTAAAGCAAGAGGAGGGGTTTTTAGCCAGTGAGAGTCTGACACTCCCTCTCGCCATATCCTGGGCGAGATTTGATGATTTTTCCCTCACGAAATGGTAGATAGTATATTGTATGTATACATACTCGTATATAGTACCTATATCCGTCTAAGAAAACTTGGTAGTTTTTTGGAACGCACCAGGTTATAAGTAGGATATAAGTATTTTTATTATAACTATAACTTATGCTACTGAGTAGCAGCGCGACGGTCGCTGAGTCGCGTGTCGCGGAATGCTGCTCATGAATATGGGCCTCTAGCATGGCTTGAAACTAGTCGAGTATCTCGTCAAATTATTACGTGAGTAAGCCGAAAACATAATAAATAATTTAGAATGTCTCACGAAAGTTATAATAAAAATATAGTAAACCGTTACGGCGCGGTATGGCTAAGAGTAGCAGCGCGACGGTCGCCGAGTCGCGTGTCGCGGAATGCTGCTCATGAATATGGGCCTCTAGCATGGCTTGAAACTAGTCGAGTATCTCGTCAAATTATTACGTGAGTAAGCCGAAAACATAATAAATAATTTAGGATATAAGTAGGTAGGTAAGTAGTTACGGTCGACAAATTTGTTTGTAATTTGGATTTGAGGAAGTCTTCGAAGAGTTTGAGGAAGGATAAAACGGCGAACCCCCTAGATATTAGGTTTTTGAGGTTTGGCTAAAAGGTAGGTACCTACCTAACCTTGTTTATGATAGTGACAAAATGACTGAAAACCACGGTGCAAGCTAAGTTTGCTCCGGAACAAGAACAAAGGTGGGGTTGTATAATACGAAAACGGTTCTTTGCAATGAAGTCCACAAAATCTGTTTCACTAACGAGAGAGAGATTTTGAAAAGGACACTCTTCGACTTCGAAAACGTTTAGACCATTCAAAAATATTTATTAAGCCTCCTTTAACGTTTCATACAAACAGCTTAACAAATGGCGCCTGATATTTGCTTTGTCCTTTGTTAGCTACAGGACACTTGCTTGGACTACACAAGCCGTTTGAATGGGTATTGTGTCGCCAGAGGAAACGTCTTTTCTTGGGAAAATCTTTAGAACCAACATTGATACAGATATGTGGGAGTATTGAAAAACATCCACATATCTGTCATCTCGTTTTTATTTTCAGAAAAGGTAGGCAAATCTTTATTAATGTTTAGAATGATGAGGTGTATTTTGTATGTTTGTGTTTTCTTCACGTAGCAATAGATAGTAGCGATTTATTGTACTTATGTTTTTTTTGCCTCGAAATAGATGCATAGTTGAACTTTCCTACACATAAGGAGGCTAGATACGTTCAAATAAGGAGGTGCTAAAAGAAATATTTGTCTACCTAACAGCGTTGTAGTCTGCTGCCACGGACCGAGCATAGCTAAATAGGTACTTCTGAACTCTCTGAAAGCTAGCGCTGAGTAGTGCGACAGGCAGCTAAATATTGAGAACTACCTACGTACGTACTGGTACCTACCAGACTACTACGATTCAACAACCAGGCAATCCAGCATTATGCACACACTTATCGGTACTCACTATAAAAACAATGAATAATGAAAACACCTGATTATTGCATTTTTTATTTGCCTTTACTGCGTATGGTCTTAGAGGTTCTAACGTAAATAATAAACGAGACAATGAGGTATGTACCTGCAAATATCTATTTAATAAATAATAAGAAATATTTTAACTATGTAGAACTACCTATCGGCACGCACGGTCTGGCTGACAAGTATAAAATATACAAGTACATTCTTATTTTCGCTCCAAAATATACCTTAGTAATTACATAATTAGGTATATTTTACTTAAATAGAAATATTTTTTATAAATGAAATAAATATAACTACGATACGCTCAGCATTTCAATGAGATTTACAGCAAGCTGAAGCTGATAACAGTTTAGTACCAATTACCTAGGTACCCATTCCTCGAAGAACGCAAACAATAGCCATGTGATGTAATTTAGGTGTT